AGTAACTCTGTCTGTCACCTCTGTTAACCGCAAAATTTTATGAATTTTGATATAGAAATAGACGAGACCTAAGAGAAGGACATAGGCTACTTTTGTCACAAAAAAAAACTAAGAATCTGTACAACCTCAAATGGCTTTGATTAATTCCGCATAATAGTGAGTGTTGAATTTGGAGAAAATATATATAGTAAAATTGAGGATAGACACTGATCACTATAAGGTGAGAAAACAAGATTCCTAAAAATTTTCACGATAGAAAAAAATACAAAGTTACCTCGAAATTTTACAAGAAAACCGCTGTATTCAATAGGTACTTTACATATACCAATGATTTCTTTTTTATAGTAAGTGAACTAAATAGAATACGTATACTATACGATGTACATTTTTCAAATGGCTTTAATTTCGTTTGTAAAATAAAATAAATTCTGAAATAAAGCCAGTGTCCCTGCCGCTCGACTTAAGCAAAATGAACCGTATTAGTAGGGGAAAAAATGCAATTCGAGCTGAGGTAGGATTGACTCTTGAAGGGAATGAAATAGGCGATGAAATTTTGTATGGAGAATCAACCATTTCTCAAGTAAGTACTGTACGAAGTCGCGGGCACCAACAAGTAATTTACAAACAAGATTATTAAGATACAAAATAATCAAGTGATGACTGTCATAAAACATCAATTCAGATGATCAAATATATTTTTTTATGAATTCACCACATCGTTAGAAAAAGTTGATTGACCCATAAGATCTAAAAAATTAAACAATACGGAAGATTCAAAACGAAGTCATTGTGTGTAAATCACAGATTGACAACGTCGCTCTTCTATTGATTCAAGTCAAGTATATGCTATCGACTTTAAAACGTTATTGCATTAAATTGAGTGTGATTTTTTTTATATAACACGTGGCAGCTTGCTTTAGCTAGAATTTAATAATGAAGCCTACCTAGTGAGGTATATAATTTATAGAATAATTTGTTTTGCTACTTCAAAATATGTTGTGTGTACAATAATTTCCAAATCAATAATTTAATATTTAATAAACATGAAAGGAAACAATATCGACGCTAACTTTCAAATATTTTCTGAAAATTATTGTGGGATATGGATACAAAGATCGATTCGAACCGACATCTTCTAGCATACCGTGCCAGACGCTATACCAACTAAAAGACGACGACGACGAAAAAAAAAGAAGACCTCGGTTCGAATCCGGCCGGATCGAAGGAATTTTTTCTGAGTGTTCGATCTTTGTATTAATAATTATTACAAACTAGTGGAGTAATAACCTTTTATGTCCGTTTCAGTCTGGCTTTCGTTCATCTCATAGCACTGTTGGAGCATTACTGAACATTACGGAAGACATACGTCGTGCTATGGATGATACGAGTCTCACTGTCATTGCTCTCTTGGATTTCAGCAACTCATACTATTCTGTTGACTTTGACATTCTTCTTGGTGCCCTTCAGGCAGTTAATATCCCCTCTTCTGTTTGAAGTTGGTTCTCTTCTTATCTTTTCGGTCGCCAGCAGTGCGTGAAAATCATTGATGACTCGTCATCTTGGTCTAACTTAACTGCTGGTGTGCCCCTAGGCGGCGTACTCTGTCCCTAACTTTTTTCCATTTTCATCAATAATATTTCCCGTGTCATTTCTTCTCTATTCCATCTATATGCTGACGATCTTCAACTCTATCGTAACTTTGAGGTAGGCGAGGTATCCGAAGCAATTGCGGCCATTTTGATTTTGATTTTGTTATGGGCTAAATCTTTTGGCCTTTCAGTTAATCCCGCTAAGTCTCAAGCCATAATTGTAGGCAGTAGCTGATTAAGGTGCAAGTTGGATTGGTCATTGGTACCTGCGTTAGTATATGATGAAACTCCCATTGCATAACTGACAAAGCAAAAAATCTAGGGCTAACAATGGACTGCACATTGTCTTGGACTTTTCATGTCAGTTTAGCAGATGAATGCACTTCTCATTTCACTCTGTCAAACAATTCCAATACCTTCTCCCTTTTCATACCAAAATTATGCTTGCACAAACCCTTCTACTCCCCATACTAGACTATGTCAACGTTTGTTAATTAGATGTGACCGAATAGCTTATGAATAAACTAGAGCGCCTACAAAACTTGGCTATCCAATTTATTTTCGGTTTCCGTAAGTTCGACCGCGTTTCCGAATTTCGCGCTCGGTTAAAACGGCTCCCAATTCGCCTCCGCCGTGATGTGCATATCCTGTCCGCTCTTTTTAATATACTTCATAACGCCAATTCCCCTTCCTAACTTCGCTCCCGGTTCCAGTGCATCACTAAGATACTCGTTCGTCCTAACTGTAAAACAAACTCCGTTCTTTCTCGTGCAACGCAGTTGTGGAACAGACTCCCTTCCCATATCCAGTCTAGTCTGTCTAATTCTTTCAAGAAAAGGTTGAAAGCGCACGTTTTTGCTGAAGTCTCTTAGTAATCATCTTACTGTATTTTTTTACATACTTATTTATGTATATATGTACAAGTGTACCTATGGTATATATTACATTATTTGTAATATAATATGTATGTATATTAATGCTATTTACTATGAATCATTTCAATACTTATGTCAGTAATGGTATTTTTTTAATGCTTTATTTATGTACTTTATTATATTTCTTCTGCACTCTCTCTTGCACGCTATTGTCCGCTTATAACCTTAGCTCTCACTACCCTGGGGTGGCTGGAAGAGATCTCTTTTAGAGTTCTGTTAATCTAATATTTCTGTTGTATTTATTTGGTGCAATAAAGAATATATATTATATATATGTAATTTCACATAAAAAATAATTGGATATCAATGCAATAAAAAATTCAATACTATGAATAGCGACATCTCTATGTAAAGGTATCTAACTAGGTGACGAAATACTTAAGATTTCTCATAGATGGCGCTACGGCTAAATGTCATTCAAAAAACCAAATACAACGACACAACAACAAACACATAGAAGAATTTGTGAGATCCGCTGTTTTGTTCTGTGGCTTAGTTGGTCTGGCACGGTAAGCTACAAGACGTCGGTTCGAACTCGGCCGGATCAAAGGAATTTTTTCTGAGTGTTCGATCTTTGTATTAATAATTATAACAAACTAGTCTCCACTAGTTATTCCTAATTTCACATAAAAAATAATTGAATATCAATTGAATAAAAATTTAAACAATTGTGTTGTTTTTAATTGTATTGTGCTACATTTTAGATACAATAATGCATGTTAACTATTAAATTGTAATTGTAAGCGTGAGCTATGGTAGCCTAATGGTTTGACCTACCGCTTCTCACATACAATATCGTGGGTTCGAATTTGGGTTTGCACCTCTGAGTTCTACAGAATTTATGTGCAAAACTTAATTTGAAATTTACTGTTAAGGAAAACATTGTCAGTGTGTGAAGTTCCCAAACAGCATAGGGCCCACAAAAGAACTATAATACAAGCCCTCTCCTTGCGAGAGGGGGCTCGTGAGATTTGATTGTACACTTATTATTTGAAGTTTAGGTAGTTACATTCTTTCATTACGATTTGTGCCTATGGGACTATACATATAAGCTATCTATTTAATTGCAAGTAAAAATATATATTTATTTTGAATTGATTTTACAGCTTTAATTTTTAATTACTCTGAAATTGCAGAGATAGAGATATTATCCACACCATTATTTGAGGTTCAGATAAATATACTCTTTTATTCCAATCTCTGCTAATATACACATTGTACTATTATACCATAGTGTACTAAAACTATTTTAAGCTATTTTGCAACCCAATCTGAAGGTAAATAATGGAAAAAATGCACTTAAACTTTTAAACAATAAAATGGTTATTGATTTTCATACATCTCTACTTGAACATACCTAAATAGTATTCCTACATTCTGGTATTGATTTTAAGATAGCTTATCCTACTACAACAATAATGGACAAATATACAACTCTGACAAAAATGAATAATATTTAATCATGTCATAGAGCATGAATCTCTGAATCAAATTATGTAAATGATGTTTTTTCATTAAAATTGTAAGTTATATTTAATTGTGATAAAGTGGACAATATATGAAAAGTCATGGTTATGTTACATTGTTTACTATATAGTTTCATATTAATATGTGATGATTTGTTGTATTTTCTACTATATTGCTGATAAAAAGTTAAGGATGTATGCAAAATACTGATTTCTGCTCATGAGAAACATTTCGAAATCTCTAGGCAAAGATCATTTTTAACGAGACTGTTTAGTGTATTATTGGCAAAGTTGAAGCCTTCCCAGTCCCTACAATAAATTTTTGATCATAATAAAAAAAAATATTTAAAATGTGATCTAGGGCCCTTAAACTTTATTGATTGACAACAACAAGCAAACTTCGGATGGTAGCTACTGACTGCCATTGCCCACATGCAAAAACAACTCTTATGATGGTAATGTGGCAATTTTGCTGAAAATGTATACGCCACCACCTTATAACAGTGGCAGGGTATGGAATTCTCTATTTAATACTAGAGTAATAAATTAAATTGTGAAGGTGTTATTCAGGATGTGTAACAAAGTTATAAAAATTTTGGATTTAAATAGGTTTAAAAAAGAAATCCAACTTAGAATGTCTGTAATATAAGTGAATAATTACTGAGCCACTCACACTGTCATTGAATGGTCAATTAAAAATAATAAATAAAATGTTGCATTCACTGCCATGTTTTACATTTTAATATAAATCAACTGAATTCATTATAATTAAGTTATTTATAAAATAATAAAACTATGCATTGCTTGCCTTTTAAAGTTTGAAGCCATGATATTGATAGACATTGAAGATAGATAAAGGAATATATTAAAATCAAAAACATAGTGACACTGTATCTGTAAAGAGCAAACACAGAGCGATTTCGAAACCCTCAGTTGAGAAATGAACGGGCTGACTAGGCAGTTACGTTGCAGAATCATTTGCTAATTAAAAAATAAGAAAATTTACTAACCCAAACAACAAATCAGGAACTTGAGGAGTGTAAAGAAAAACGCGTTGTAAAAATTGGCGTCGTAGTAATTGGTCTCCGAGTCTGTTATATCGACGTGGTCATCCGTCACGTTGCTCAGTGAAGGAACGTCCTCTCCATTTGACACCGGTAGTCCAAGGCTGACTTTCAAGAACTCATCCACCACAAACAGAGGCGGCACCCTCAGAAGCACCTCCACAAGGGCTAGCGCCTTCGACCTCAGCGACATAATTCATTTATGCGACACTTGACGCACGGCAACACTGACAATTTAGTAACAACAGCCGAAACGACCAATGGCCGGCGGCTCGGTAGATTGTTGATTTTTGTATTTATGATATATTTGATGTCGTAATGAAAATACTAAAATATGACTGAAATTTTTGCGATAATAAAAATTTGACAATTTGACACTACAAATTTAGAAGTTGCTATAATGAAAATAAAATCCTACCCTTACTACAACTACAGTAACTTTTTATTCTTTTATACTAGAAGACAAAAAATGTTACTATTATAATGGTCAGATAGATCAAAAGCGCTATTGAAATTAGAAATGAAATTATTTGTAATGATGTATTTATACATCATTATAAATAGAGCAAATAACTAATTTGTCAATTCAAATCACTGCAGTTGACGCAGTCTTCACATTTTTTAAATAGCAACTCTTTCTACACGTTTCACAATGCCATCTTCCAAAAAATTTACCAATGTAGTAGAAAAATACAAATCCAGCTGTTGAAAAAATTATTTTCTTAATTAATTATTAGTCTCTTCATATACTTTTTTTAATAATTTGCGGATAAAGTGAAAATTTCATGATGAAAATGAAGCCTCAAAAAGCGCTAAATGCGAAATCCCAATTTGAGTTTTTTGAAGTAAAAATGTATACCTCCTTTCTCTAACTTATAAGAAGACAGCCTTCTCGTAATTCGTGCCGTCTACTACGATCTTGCATTCTTTTTACTTTAACTTTTACAATGTCGTCCACCCATCTCGTTCTAGTACGTCCCGGAATGCTTCCGATCAATTGCAAATTTATATAGTACCTAACCAAATTTGCGTAATTAAAATTAGTTTCTTGTTAAAGCTATTTGTTTTGATAATTTGTTTTACCAGCAATTTTTAACACATTCTGATCATTTTGTTATACCCTGTATACGATTAAACTTATCTCCATTAGCGTTTAAAATATTGAATTAGTTTTAGTTACGCGGGGCGCACTATAAGTTTCGCGGAATGAATAAGAAAAAAATACTATAAATGGTCAGAAATGAATTTATTATTTATCAAAATATTCTCCTTTAGCGTCAATGCAGTTTTTCATGCGAATAAACCAATATTGAAAACATATAAGCCACTCCTCCGTGACTATCTCTGAAACATATTTTTCATACTCTTCGACAGCCTCTTCAGTTGATGAAAATCGTTGACCGCGTAACTGGTTCTTAATTTTTGGTAATATATAAAGGTCAGAAGGTGCCAGGTCGGGATTGTACGCGGGATGGCTTATAACGTCAACGTTGTTCACCTTCAAAAATTCATGTCTGTCTGGCCGTGTGAGAACTGGCATTATCGTGGTGCAAAATGATACGGCGTTTACGGTTATTTTTACGGAGTTTGTCAATAACTTCCAGCAAACAAATGGTCGTGTACCAATCACTATTCACGGTACTACGATTCTCTAAAGCAACAGTAGCCACGTGTCCAGTTTTATTAAAAAAATAAGCAATTATCCGCTTAGAGGCACTTTGCACGCGCGCCACTTTGGTTGGTTTCGGCTCATCTTGAAAGACTTTTTACGCTCGATTGCTGCTTTGTTTTGGGATCGTAACTATAAATCTATGTTTCATCACCTGTTACTATGTCCCACACCAAATTTGACGCCCCTTCGTTGAATCTGATAAACATGGCATTGCACCAAGTGACGCGATTCGTTTTTTAAGCCTCAGTCAAATTGTGTGGGATCCACCGAGAGCACAGCTTTTTCAAACTCAAATATTTGTGTAGTACCTACCTATTGATTGTATTTGACTCATGCCTATGCCTAAAAATGCCCGAATCTCATGGTATGTCACATGCCTGTCTGTTTTGATCATACGGAGCACAGCATCGATGTTTTTGTTGTTCACAGCAGTGGACAAGCGACCATCACGAGATTCGTCACTGAGATTCACACTACCGCGTTTCAATTCTGCAAACCAGCTATAAATAGTCGTCTTGCATGGTGCTTCATCGCCAAAGGCAGTTTGAAGCCGAGTTATGCTCCGCTGAATTGTTAAATTACACTTAAAGTCGTAGAAAATTATACTACGAAAATTTTCACCAGTTAAATCCATGGTGATGTAGACAACCAATTTCTAAAATGACGCCACAGTGTAACAACAGGTGACAGTTAGATGATACAAACTGTATTCTACAGCCAAAGAGTTCCATTTTCAAATGTTGTAATAACTTTTTAAAAATAGTTTATGTAAGTGGCCAGTTCCGGAAACTTATAGTGCGCCCTATGTAATAAAATAAAGTCAAAAATAGACAGCGACCCAGACATTTACCAACATATTACGAACTATGCAAACATTTGTAGATTATACCTATTCATAAGTTCGCTATGGAGCTTTCCCGCGAGCTTCTCACAATAACAATTTTAATTTCCCTCTGAACGTGAAGCCTTACGGGAAGCCACAAAAATCGAATCGATAAGAATGAACTTTCGCCGGCAATCGTCGAGTTACGAGCTTTCGGTTTGTAGGGGCATAGATTATTTTATAGTTTAGAAGAAGTAAAATAGATGGTCTTGCCCACTTTTAAGGTTTTTTTATGATACTAAGTGATGGGACGAACAAGAGGTGCGCCTGGTTATTAGCGACACGCCTGTTATGTCCATAGCAGTTGCAGTGCCAATCAACGCTTTAAGATCTGACGGGCACTGCCACTGTGCCCATCACCCGAAATATACGTAGTTTATTCGTAGTTAGTATGTACACATGGTATTCCCACAATTCAAACCGTACGTTCCTTGGTTACGTAAGTAATAAATTTGAAAAGATTATTATTGCTATGAGAGTTTTTTACATTTAATTTTGTCCACATCTCACCAAATGACGATATAGATAAAGAAGGACCATATTTGTCTTGAAAGTGCTTATTGACTCAACATTAGAAGTTTTGTGAAACAACAACGCTATATTCTTTTTAAATTGGTTTTATTACCGTATTCTTTTTCAATAGTTTCATTATTTAACTAAATAGGTATAACTAAGAAGTATAGGTACTATCTGGACGGGAAAATTAAACAGGCCCGAATAAATCTCTGGAAGGAGAGATACCCCACGGCATCATTCATCCTGCTGTCGGAACTCCTCCTCCCTCCTGGCCATGATCGATCTTGGCAAACTTGGAAGTCCCTAAATAGGCTGCGGACCCAAGTCGGCCGAAGCAAGGAGTGCATGCACGGGTGAGGTTACAGCACGGAGAACGCATGTCTGTGTGGTGTCTCTCCCCAGACAATGGCACATCTTTTGTCTTGCCCTGCGCGTCCCTACACCTGTACACGCGAGGACCCGTATTACAACGCCACTGATAATGCTGTCTCAGTCGCTAAGTGCTGGTCCTCACAAATATAAACGTCAATGTCTACACACTAAGAAGAAGAAGAATAAGAAGAAGAAGAAGGATAGGTATAAACAGTACTTATTTGCCTACAATAATAGCTTCGTTACGTAATGTTTTACTAAACCCAACCACATCATTTTGATGTGTTTTAATCTGTTAATCACACTATAATCTGAATAATACTTTTGCGAAAATGACAATAATTATTCGCATTGATGGCTGTAACTGCCAACAAATCGCAATATTCTGCCATGGCACGCGCGAGACACGCGGCAAAATGCATTTCGACGATTAAAACGGATTTCGGCAAAGTTTGTATTAAAAGTTAGAAAAGGACCTTATCATAAGGTACAGCGGTACGTGAAGGGTGACATAGACGCCCTCCTGGTACACTGTTCATGAAAAAATAAATGTATTTAACTTTGCGGATAGCAAATTAATCTTTGTGGAGTGGCAAACCAGTTGGTTGATGGAAGATAAGCGGTGAATCCACAAAAAGAGATTGAATTTCAAATGGCTAACTTTTATTTGCGTTTCCGAGTGGGATGCTAAAAAGTATCAGTTTACCTGATTAGTTAAAATGTTATTGTTTTGTATGGGAAAATGATTTGTTTTTATTACAAATGGAACTTGGGGTCGCTTTGTAATGCGGGACGCTGAATTAAACTCATTAATGCATTCATAAATTCATAAATTTAAACACATTGTGTGTCTACTTTGTTTTTATCTGTTTTAGGAAACTGGAATATTTATATAGTCATACATTTAGATTAAATACATATAAACATTTATTTTGTATGATATAAAATTTCGCTTTAGGGGTCACCCTATATATTAAGCTGAAAATATCTAATTTGGATCGAAACTAAAAACACAGATTTTGCTTACACGATACTTACGGTACATACTACAGCATAAAAGAAAGTTAAAATTTAAGTTTATAACTTGAAATTGATGAAATTCACCAGCAGCTGTTGAAGTTTCTGGGAATAAATCCAAAAGGAGGCGTTCAGAGTTTACTGAAATCCCTGCCAGACTTAAGATGCACCTACCATGTCATTTACTCAACCAATACCACAAGCACAACAATACCACAACCAATGTATAGGTGCAAGAATCAAAACGAAACGTAATGTTTTGGAGTTACCAGCAAGCGTTTTTTATTTATTACAATAGAGTTCCTCCTTTGAGAGGAGCGACAATTTTGTGCAGCTGGATTAGGGGGAGATATTGTTACTACCCGTTTTGTGTGATTGATACCTGTCGTAATTGGTCTGATAAAATTCAAACAGTTCTCCACAAAGCCAGCACACTTGCCATTAAGCCGCAGGGTAAACACAGGTGTGAACCACAAGAGAAATGTTTGCCAAATTATTTCCAAACGAATGGTTGTTTGTGGAGAGATTAAAATTTAATAAGGGTGATGATTTGTAACTGTTGATTTTTGTAATTTGAGATTTTTATCATTTTTTAACCAGTTTTTGTGCGCGTGGGAAACTTAGTACAGCAATAAGTAGTCATTGCAATACTAAGGGTCGTATTCCAGCACTCTACTCAATACTCAAGTCAGGACTTGAGTATTGCAGTGAGCACTGAAAATCATACTCAAGTCCTTGCCATTAGAGTCGTATTTCCAGTGCTTGAAATCATACTCAAGTCTGCTCAAATCCTGACTTGAGCATTGAGTAGAGTT